AGTACAATCACTTTTCTCTACGCAGATGATACAGCTCTCATAACATTACGAGACATAGACGCAGTACTTAGGTGTGCTCAAAATCACCTCAACCTGGTCGACAGGTGGTGTAGGAGATGGAGAGTAACACCTAACCCAAATAAAACACAAATGATTCTCTTTAGACACCCCAGTTCGCAGCAGAATCACCACACTCATCATATCCGAAAGACACGACTTTATACTTTGGGGAACCGACTGCAGCTCCGTGACCGGATTGAGTGCCTAGGTGTGATGTTTAGACAAACCCTAAACTGGAGGACTGATGTGGACATAAACTGTAACAAGGCTAGGAGCAGAGTTGGTCTACTCAATGTTCTTTGTAGAAATTTGGAAGGACACACCCACGCACACTCATACATTGAAAACGTTTATTAGGCCGATCATCGAGTATAGATCCAACATCTACATGGCGATGATACCTGATCCCTGATCCCTGATGAATACAATGACATCCTGGAGGCAACTCCCCTTTACTATCGTCGCATTAACCAGTAAATGCTCACTTCGAACTTGCCTAGAAAGGAAGGGATCAGTTTTCTGTGGTTTCCCGATTACATTGCACAATGATACCTGTCTATTGCAGAGGATACAGCCACAGCTGCCCTCACGCGAATGGCGATTCAATAGATTTATGATTTATCAAATTGTATACATATGAATTCACATATTCATAAATATATCTTTTAGCAAACAACATTCTGAAAAGGAACGTTAACTAACAACCCTTTCACCTCTGATTGTCCAGGACGCTCCTTCGGCGACAAGTCATGAAACCTACCACCAGTGGAACCACACAGCCCGAAAACCAACCAAACAAAAACAAACCACGTCCTGAAGAGGTGAAAAACCTATAACAGGACACTAAAAAATAAAACAAAGAAAACCAACCCACAAGAACGAACACCTAGACAATGCAGTAACTCTCGGCTCCCAAGTAGGGTCTTCTGTACCCTAGGAGTCCGATGTCGGGGCTCTGTTCCGGTTCTCTAAAACACTGAGACTGTGTCTGGTCCTTGTCCACCTCCTAAACGTTGTTTCATTTTATTTTCATGTGAGAAATGCTGAGTATCCACCGAAGATGGAATATACGCAGACGGTATTTAGAATTGACTGGTCGAAGTCCATCTGTAAGGCACCGCAGGAATGGATAAGTGGCCGTAGTTTTCCAGGCCCTTTCTTCCAATCTGGTGATACAGGAAGTGCTGTATATGGTATTGCCTCTAATTTTGTAGTAATGCATGATAATGCAGGTCAATGTAGTGGTTAATACTGAGCCTCTATTGTAAAAATTTTCAGAATATGTTTGATCGATGTATTTTAAATCGTGTGGATATATTTATTGTGATTGATTCAAAAATGGATTCATTTTCCTAGTTGATAGTCTTATAAGATTATCAATTAAGGTTTATGTAACACCTTTCTCTAAAAAGTCATAACCATCAAAAATGTTTCGGTAATTTTATACACTACCTTTTTGGAAGGTGCTTAATAAGCGTGGTTCTCTCTATAATGTCAACAACGGTAAATTTTGGGTTTACTGAAAATGGTAAACATTAGGATGTTCTTCAATAAGCATGGCTTTCTCTATAATCTCAACAACTTGTGGAAAATGGTATGTTTTTAAATCCTATTCTTTCAACCAACATTTAATGAAATACAATTTTTAAATTGTGAAACTTGGTCTGTAAAATAATATTTTTTTTTTGTTTGTCTCTTATATAGCACATATTTAACCACGAAGCAATAATGATCAGTAAATTATTCAAATATAACAAAAAAAAACTAAACAAAATACACGATTTTTTCACAAAGTCGATCCAAACAAGTGATCCACTATAAGGCATTGAATCATTGGTTCATAAATAATTATATTTGTAAATACCCATAAATCAAACATTATTTGTATTTAGCTGAAATTTTATTGCTCATTCAATACCTTTTATGTTTAACAAAATAAATAATAGCTAATTTACTGTTTATCACGGTACTGCAGTACCCTATATTGTCAGATTAATAAATTTGCTTATTATTCATATTAAACGGAAAATCATTTCACCTACTGAATCATAAATAATTTTTATTATTTTTGATACTACAAAATCGGTTAAATACTGACATACTAAAGCATTTAATACTTTTTTAAAAGGCTAATATATTCGGAAAGGAACATTTATCACTACTCAGAGCAACCAATTATGGAAGACTATTCCCTCTAAGCAGAATTTAGAATTAAAATAGTAGTTACCAAAACATCAGAGCCTAAAACATCCTGAAAACTACCTGCCTCTCCTTCAGAAATTTCTTTCATCACCAAAAAAAACCCAGTAAACTGCCAGCAACGAAATATCTGATGAACACATGGATATCTTGTAGGCAAAGTAACTCTTAGACCGCATTTAGTTATAAGCTCAACACTTTTCACATAGATAGCAATTGCTTTCTATATACATTCAGTGCTCTTTGTCCGTTTTTTCTCAATCGACGATGGAAAAATACTACGAAGTCAATTGTAGTAGTGTAGAGCAAAAATAGTTTAGTTCCAGTCTAAGTAAGTAACCTTAAAGGTAGTTTCACAGGCTAATGACTAACGTGTTAATTATCCAAATATAAAAAGACCATTGCAGTCGACTGTGTGTTAGTTTTCCATCGTTAATCGAAAACAACGGACAAAAGGCTCTAAATTTATGTTGGTTCTACCTTAAAAGCTATTTCCCAGTTCTCTACAAGATCGATAATCGCAATTGGAAGACCACAAAGCACCAAATTCCCATCAAATCTTTAAAGTCTACTTTTCATTCCATTTGAAGTCCATTCAAGTGCCATTCATTTCCAAGCCAAATGAAGACTTTATGACTATGGCAGCTTATACTATTTTGAAGTTACAACCGAAGACAAAGAAAGGTATATCTAATTAAATAAGGAGACTTGCCATGTTCAATAATAACAATCATTAATATGGTTACCAAGCCAAACTGTATCTTATATGAGTTATATATTATGATACTACTCATATAATGTTATGGAGATTATGAACTCATAACCTCTGCAAGATAGTAGAATGTAACATACGGAAAATCCGTTAATTGGCACTGAGCATCGAAACACTGTCTGGTCATTCGAATATACGAGATGCAGTTGGCCAATCTGCACGACGATTTTCGATCTGAGCATATAATAAATCAAACGAGTTCTATAAAACTATCACGGAAATGCATTGCCAGACCCGGAATATAAAATTGTTCATCTTTAGTAGCCAATTAAAAACAGCAATCGGAAGTTATCTAAAAGGTTCCCGTGAGCCTCGTTCTTAATATACTCAATACTTAAACAAATCAACGTGCCCGGGCGAAATATATATATATATATATATATATATATATATATATATATATATATATATATATATATATATATATATGTTACGGGAGATACTATACGACATAGAGTAGATCAAGTTGATCAAAATATATCTGGAGATGCGCGGAAATCTATTGTCACCCACCACTGGATTCCTCATTTAACAACGGGAATAGGAACGATTTTTTTTTGTAATCTTGTTCGTCACTATGTGAAAAATAGTAATATTTGTAGAATTCAAAGAGAACTAAGGAACAAAACAAGCAAGTCCCCGAATCAAACCTCATCCGACTCGAAGGACCAATATAAAATTTCAGTGTCCCTGTTCGTTGTCCTTGATCAGCGTTGGAAATCAGCAACACATAGTGTGTTAACTAATTTAATTTTAAATACAGCATAAAAAATAAAAAAAAAATAAAAAAACACCTCAATGACAACAACTGTTCTGTCTTCTCTTGGACACTCTTGAAAACCCATCACCAAATTAGTGCTAAAAAACGTCCATCTTCCATTGATAAAAACAAAACCCAAGAAAATACATCCTGAAAAAGAAATAAAAAAGATAATTTTTCATTAACAGAAGAATTGACACTAGTCTACTGGCAGTCGCTGGTAAAGTGTATTAAGAATGTTGATCCGGATACATACATTCTAATGAGGTGGAGATCAGACGGCGGATGATGACTGAAATATTCAATCATGTCACAAATTCATCGGAAATCTTGACATTGTGTTCCAAATTGTTGCAAACGTTTGGTTCAGTAAAAGTGCAATCTTGCACAGCCAAAGAAACGATGTCGGTCTGGAGAACGTATGAAACATGAAACGAATGAAACGGCTTGCTTTTAAACATGAACCTTTGAAGAAGAAATCCAAAAACTACTAGATATGAATAGAAATTATCTGCGAATTATCGTAGGTATCCTAACAGGACACGATCGCCTCAAGATGCACATAAATAAAATTGGACTGACAGAAAGTGCGGACTGCAGCTTTTGTCAGACTGATCAGAGACGATGGAACACTTTCTATGCAACTGCCCAGAGTTGAATAGAATAAAGTTCGATATATTTGAGCAGAATCAACTTGAGTGCTATGACTTCGTAGAAGTATCATCAAAGGCCATAATAGAAAAAAGATACCAGCAGTCCTTGCATCTCTTTCTATTCCACTGGAGATGTTTTGTATTGGAAAGGTTACGTGGTCGTTCAACCCCGGATATTAGAAAGAAATGCAAGGACTGCATGTATATATCTTCTCTGTCGCACTAGGGGAATGGGTTTACATTGCAGTGAGCAGTCTAGGTATCATACGTATATGCTGATATTAAACAAAACTCAACTTAAGAATGCAAAAGCGTCCTTTTTTTATTTACACAGTCCATTTAGTCACTAAAAAATAATGAAGAAATTTTAATTAACTTTTTTTTTTTAATGAAAACTAGTTGCGGTGAAAAAATCTTTCGAATCACTTGAGTGGCATCGACTTAAAAAACCGATAGACAGTGCAAGTATACGTAATAAAAAGGGGGCGAAAATTCAAATAGTTTGAAATTTTCTGCCACGGCGGCGCCACATGCAAACCACAACACTAAGACTTACTAAAATCCCCCATATTGTCATTATCTTCCAAATAAATTAGTGTTATTTCTTCCATATACGGCAGTTCGACCCGATATAATATTTCACCTGTACTTTATTGTAACACAGAAAGAAGCCAAAAAAGAAAAAAAATTATATAGTAACATTTTTATACGTTGGCTGGCACGATTCGTTTATATATTTATCAATTTTTAAGAACTAAGTGACTATATTTGACAATGTTGAAGACGAAATTATATTATATACATAATAAGAATCAGAATAAATCATTTATTTTGTTCTTATAATAAAAGAAACATATAACAGTAAGGGGCGGGTTGGATACATAAAACAAAAAATTGTATATATGTACAGCAAACATAACAACAAAACTGACTTCGGCACCAATTACTCTTGTATATAAATGGGTCTCACAGAGATGCTTAGACATGAACCAAGAAATTTACGCCTGCTTTATTGATTTCGAAAAGGCCTTTGACAAAGTACAATATGAACCACTAAGACAAGTTCTAATAAAGAAAAATATAGACAGCCGAGATATTCGAATTATATGCAATCTATATTGGAATCAAACAGCAAATGTCAAGGTTGAGGGCAGACTAACAGAAGAAATTCAAATCCGTCGAGGAGCCCGGCAGGGATGTATCTTATCGCCACTTTTATTTAATCTGTATAGTGAAACTATCTGTGAACAAGCACTCGAGGAAGAAGATCTTGGTCTGATAATAAATGGTGAGACGATCAACAATATAAGGTATGCTGACGATACAGTTACACTATGCATTTTCTTGTATCATTTCTTATATCGTTTCTGATATATAAAGTTATTTATGTTTTCTTGTATCGTTTCTTGTACGTACATTTTTGCCCTGTATGACACTATGAAAGTTCTTTTACCAGAAACTGTATGTGATTTGGCACATGATTGGTCGAAATTTTGACACCTATAAAAATAGAACTGCAGTACCTGAGGCACCGAACAAGGGCCTGAGGACCCCAAGCTACTGGGGACTGAGAACATATGCTACTGATTATTTTGAAAAATACTGTGGTGCAAAAATGAAAGAAATAAAATGTCCCAATATGAAAACTAAATTGGAAACCACAATTTTTGAAGATATTCAACAGGTTGTAATGGAAGACAGAAATAATAAATAATTTGGTTGTAATAATTTATTTTTTTTTTTTAAATGATGTGTTTGATTGGTGTGCTCTTGAAACTCTACTCTCTTATTTGGAGATATAAAATAATCTTTTAACTCATCACGAATTTTTAATGCGGTTATGTATTGTTTTTAGTAAAACATCTCCTCCTACTTTCAGTAGTTCCGATGCTATTTGATACAATCACTGTGATTTATTGTTTTTCAATATGGCTACTGATGTTCTAATCATAATTATTGTTGGTGGGCACTTTTCTCTGATGTCTGCTTGGCCTAATTGTATGTATACATCAGAGATACTTACATATCTCTGGTATATATCAAAGTTCTCCTCCAGCCATAGAGAAATAAAAATAATAATTATTTTTATTTCTCTATGCCTCCATCCGCCAATATGACATGAAAGAAGTTTTACGTTTTAGCGACTTAGCGAACAAATTGGCGAATTTCTTGTACAAGAAAATGCAGCGGACACAAATTCTTGTATCGTTTCTGATATAAGAAACTATACGCCTGTATGACACTATCCATTTTTTTGTTATATCAGAAACGATATAAGAAATGATACAAAAAAATGCATAGTGTCATACGGCCTTAACAGCTACGGCTTGCAAATTAATTTAAAAAAAAACTAAATTTATGGTAATCACGAAATCAAAGAACATCAGAGCTAATCTTGTAATAGACAATACAACGATTGAGCGTGTGCCCTGTTATAAATATCTAGGTGCTTGGATCACAGACGATACTGATCAAACAAAAGAAATTAGATGTAGAATAGAAATCGCTAGATCAGTCTTTAATAGAATGCGCAAACTCTTTTGCAATCGTGATATCAACATAAAGTTACGAATACGAATGCTGCGGTGTTATGTCTTTTCTACCCTGTTGTATGGAGTTGAGGCTTGGACACTAAAACAGTTGACCATAAAAAACATCGAAGCTTTCGAGATGTGGTGCTATAGGCGCATTCTCAGAATATCATGGATGGACCGCGTCACTAACACGCAAGTACTCCAAACTTTAGACAAAAGATGCGAAATTCTAAATGAGATAAAAACTAGAAAGATGGAATACTTGGGGCACATTGTGAGAGGTAAAAAGTACGAACTTTTAAGAAACATCATGCAGGGCAAAATTAAGGGCAAAAGAAGTGTGGGAAGAAGAAAAATATCGTGGCTTCGTAATCTATATGAATGGTTCGGGTGTAGTTCGATTGAACTTTGATTGGAAGATTGGAAAAATGTTTTGTTTAGTGTTTTGTCCAGAATGGTTCTTTATGGCTCAGACGGTCGCATCAAAACGTAAAGAAGACGTGGGGAACGATACGCTGCTTGTGCTCGACGAGTACGTGTTGCTTTTCGGAGAAGGCTCTGTAATGTCTTGGCAGGCATTTCATTAGAAGGCCGTACTGATCTCGTATTTTTTAATAGAGGAGCGTTGAATGTTCAATTACTGAAATTCTAGACGACCATGCAATACCTTTTATTGAATTTGTAGGCGAAAACTTTATTTACATGCAAGACAACGCGCGGCCACACGTAGCCAGGATAGTAACGCAATACCTGGAAACCGTCGGTGTCCAACAATGAATTGGCCGGCTCAAAGCCCAGATTTGAACCCGATTGAGCATGTTTGGTACCAACTCAAACGAAGAGTAAGAAACAGAATACCTGCTCCAACAAATCGTGAGGAGCTTCGATTGGCGCTTATGGAAGTTTTTCCTAAAGACAGGATCCCTTATTTGATTAATTCACTGCTAAGTCGAATGATGAGTGTAATTCAAAATAGAGGTGGTAATACACAACATTAAAAATCACGACATTATTGTAATTTATATAAAGAAAACAGAAAAAATTTACAATATTTATTTTTTTTAATTTTCCATAAAAATCATGATTTTGGGAGAAGTTTTTGTTCCCATTTGTTATTAAGGAAATATTTGCATACTGTTTCAGAACATATTCTTAAACATCACACAAACATCTAATGATAATTAATCCCTTGTAGGGTTCTTAAAAATTAAAAAATGTCAAAAGTTTTAGATGGCTTCTTTTTAATGACGCGCAGTGTACTACGTGGCTTCAAACTCATCTGCAATAAACGTTCCAAATAATTTTTAACAATCATACCAGTCAATCAGCCTGTTATGACACATATTTCAACTCAAAACTAAAACCAATTTAAAAGCAAATATTGTTAATAAACTACAACCGACCTTCCAAAAAATACTAATCGCTCTTTTACTGTTGACGTAATATATTTTCCGCACAAAAGACGTTACCTAAATTGTACTCTATATATCCAATAATTAAACTGTCAAAACCAAAAACGAACAAACCGCGTATCCCTCGTGAATACATTTTCGGAGTTTTCATTTGGTCATATAAAGAGCCACAACTGGCAACTTTCGAAACAAGCTCGGTCGAGAGTATGTCTGGAATTAGCAGATATAATATTGGGAAGTTTCTCTTCTTACTACGAGACAAAAATATCTATATATTCTACAAAATAACTCTCGATTAACTTGTTATCTGAGACAGAAAAAATTTAGATCGATAAAGAGAATTGTTAATTTTTAGAAACCGGCAAGAAAAACCAATATGTATGTTTAAAAATTTCCATTTTTTTAAATAAAAATACGTAAGGTATTTTTTTTTCTTTTTTTTTAAGTAGTTCCGTATGCTTATCAATATTTTTACTGATCCACTATCCTATAGTCGGAAATTTAGTGAATGATTAGGTCTTGCTGAAAAACCAAGGTGTTTACGAATTAAGCAAACAGTTTCTAAAATATATAGAGAGGCAAGAGTTAAAATCCCGTGATTTTTGGAGTAACTTTTGCAATGTGTTATTCTACTGAGGCCAAAAAGATACTGTATTGCTCTTTTTTTGTAATTTAAAAATAACATTAGATTGGACAGCTGTACTAGAACCCAAAAAAGGAAAGCCATATCGAAGATGAGACTCAAACAAAGAAAAGTATGTCATTTTGGAAGATGCTAAATTCATTTCCTTCGAAACAGATCTTATTGCATAGCAGGCTGAGACTAGTTTCTTACTTAACAAATCAATATAAAGGGTGGTCTTCCCATAGAACAACCAAGGATCCCACTGACGGACGTTCAGCACAGTAAAGCAGCATCTGAAGGACTTACTGTTAATATGGGACGGTTCGATATTTCTTTGATACAACAGCGCCGGGTATACCAGGCATAAAAGCTCTATTGAGTGTTATCAGATATATCAAGGTCTAAGAACTTAGAAGAAACAAAATAAGACGATGGGCTGCAATATAGTCTAACAAGCTATTTTAGGGAGCTGTGAAATTCCATAAACAAGGGACCTACCTGTTTTGTGAAATGATCCCATGTTTATGTAATTTCACACCTTTAACAATAGCACCACGCTGAGCTGAATATTAATGTCTCTTAGTGAGAGCGCCCACCAAACTGGCATTACAAGTGGCAAGTAGCAAGTAGCACGCGTCTAGCAGGTTTCTTAAAATGTAACCAATGCAAACGAATGATTAGAATGAATGACGTTACTGTCATTTTGGTGTGCTAACTATATTTTTTATATATAGTTTGATGTATAACATTCTAGATACGTGCTACTTGCCACTTGCCATGCCAGTTTGGTGAGCGCTCTCCCTTGATAGCTTGTTAGACTATACGATCGGTGGGGAAAAGACGCTTTCCATAGAAGAAAAGAACCACTCCAGTAATTGTTTCCCACCGCCACATAAGCATATACGATAATATATTCTCTTGATTATTATAATAAAATAAAATTAGCTTTCATAACGATTTCCTACAGTTAATAATAAAGGAGACTAATCTGTTCTGACAACAAGTGAAAGAACGTTCAATAAAGATAAATAAAAATGGTATCACAGAATGTTTAATAATAGAGTTACAAATGGATGTAATAAAAATGTCATGTAGATGATTGGACTGCAAAGAAATATAAAAAAAATGTAGACATTTACATTTTGCAAAAAATACTTGAATGATGACCAATATTGTAAAGTTGAACAGAATTGAAAATTGAAGAAAAAGAGAAAGTATCTGTGTATGAAATGATTCGATGGTTCCTTTTAAAATTAAAAAGCTTATAGTTAAGTTGAACTCTGTTGGAAAATATATTGGATTGCTGTAGATAAAAAATATATATGAACAATATGAACCTTACCCGATTCAACATGTTACATCCGACGTAGATTTATTAAGTAGAGAGTAACAGAAGAATTTGTTACAGCGGTAGTATAAGACCATCAAGCAACGGATAAACAGGACTTGGAAGTGCTAATAATTTAAGTATTTTTTCGAAAAATGTCATTGATTGTGTAACCAACATTGTAAAGCCAAAAAAATCAGATATAACAAACGTGACTGCCTTGTATAAGTAATCATTAGTACCAAAATGATTCTAAGAGATTTCACTTAGGGTTTCCCCTTCAAAAACATAACGTAAGGGCAAATAAGGGTTCTTGACGTCCTAGTATTACGAAATCCTTTGGTGTATTTTACAAATATCTCACATACAACTACTGGAAATTTACAACATTCATTTTTACAACGTTGCCAAATATAATCGACTTTAAAATAACTTTAAGAAACTGTAAACGTGCCAGCCAATATACAAAAAAATTACCGTATTTCAACAAAAGTAGTTTTGATGCGGTAAAAATTATTATTATATGTATATAAAAAATGTGTCAAACAAAAATTGGCTAAAATCGATACTGTACCTTCTGCGTTAGCATCCTCTTGAGTATAACAGAGCATGAAAGCTGCAATGAAAAAGTAAACATTAAATGTGAAGACAAAGGCGTGGTAGATTTGATTGTTGATTTTTTTTTATAAAGTAGTTCAAAAATATCCTTCGATTTTTTTAAAATCTAAATCATGTATGTACATTTGCATTATTTGAATGATATAAAAGCATCATTGTTAAACAATATATATCAGATATAATGTTGAGGTTGAGTTATTCCTCCTAATTTACCTGAAGTTGCTGTAGTTTATTTCATTTTTTCTAACTATTAAACTTAGTATAAGAATGCTTCACTCCAGTAAGTTATTTATTATTAAAATATTTATTTAATACAACAAACTTAGGAATCCCAAAGCGAGAATCACATCCTAGAACACTGAGCTATCATACTCCTTAAAAACATTGTTTCATCTCTATTTTATTTTAAAGGTTAGAGACTAAAGTGGTTTTTTTAGGAAACCACTAATTGGTAAAATTAATAATTGTGGATTTTATTTGACACTCACACTGGCATTAGCTCTAGATAGTATAACAAAAATATGTCTCCTGATTTTTCTTTGTGTGTATATTTCTTGGTACATATATAATTTATTGTGTGGTGTTTTATTCAGTCTATTTTTGGAGATATAGACAGATCCCACCAGGTAAACGAAAGTTGTTTTGAGTAGTATGGACATCTACAACAAAAACCTATATGATTCCTGTAGTCGATTAGTAGATTTTTTGGACTTAATTAGGTATTAACAAAATGTCAAAAAAACGGTAAATTTTGCGCTTTTTTTGTCTGCAAAAGTGAAGATTTTGCAACAAATTTGAGAGTAAGGAACTTATAATTTATATAAAAAGCTTCAAAATGGAGTTTTTTTAATGTTTCTATCCTTATTTGTTGCTTAAAAAAATTCAAAATAAGTCAAAAGTTGCAGATGTTTATAACAATTAATAACTTAAAAAAAACTTAGAACCTTCATATTACATAAAATGTTAGGGTATTGTGGTGCCTAAAATATGGTGAAAATTTTAAAGCGGTCGGTCAAATAGTTTAAAAGTTATTCCCAAATTTTTTAATGCGACAATATAAGTCAGAAAATAATAAAGCTGAAGTTATTCTACGGGTAGTTTAGAAAAGAAGATAATTTAAACTACCCATATTATTAAAAAAAAAATAGTAAAAAAATTTTAAATATTGCAAAATTATTTTGCAAAAACATGTAAATTTTTTGCTTATAAACAATTAAAATAACTTCTTAACCATTATTATTTTTTCACTTTGGAAAGTTTTCATATTTACAAGTTGAAAAAAAGATAAAGTTGTCCTAAGCCAATTTATGCCCAAATTAATTTTCTTTTTAATTCACAGCAGGTTTGTTTGTAACGTTATAAACGTTTTTTAATAATTATTTTATCTCAATTTTTCTTGATTTTATACATTTGTTAATTTATAACTTTATCTTTTATTTTACTATTTTTATTTAAACAATAGTTGGCGCTCAAATTTTTATTCGACCCTTCAATCAACTTTCTATTTTAAATATTCTGTCATCTAAAATTCCAACTCTATATTTTCACTATGCATTCTAATTGCTTTATTCATACTCTGTTATGTTCTATGAGATGATAGAGCGTATATAAGTTTCTATTCCTCACTTCAGTCGACAAAGGTCATTTGTCAGTTGACAACTCTGCTCTGTCATATCATTTCAACTGTAGAGGTGGATTATTATAATCCGGTCAATTTAGATATAAAAATAGTGGTCAAATAACACAAATTCCCCGAAAGCCAAATATTGGTGGAAAGCTGGAGTTTACCATTAAAAATGAAGTTTTAAAAATCCCCATCGATCGTACAAAAAGTTCTATGCAACCGCCAGTTGGGCATCTCATTGAGAACTAGAATACTTAAGTGCTATGTTTTCTCCACCTTGCTCTATGGTGTTGAAGCCTGGACAATGACAGAAGCAACACAAAAAAGAATCCAAGCATTCGAACTCTGGTGTTACCGTAAAATGCTAAGAATATCCTACATGAGCCATACGACAAATGCGGACGTCTTGCGGAGGATGAATAAGGAAAGAGAGCTTATGCTTATAATAAAAGAACGGAAAACACAATATTTTGGTCATTTCATAAGAAATCAAAAGTATGAACTGCTCCAACTTATAATCGAAGGCAAAGTCAATAGCAAAAGAGGACCAGGAAGAAGACGCAACTCTTGGCTTAAAAACCTACGGCAATGGACGAACATGACCTTCATAGAACTATTCAGGGCTGCTACAAATAAGATTAAATGGGCAAATGTAATGGCCAACGTCCTTAAGGATAAGGCACCGTAAGAAGAAGATCGATCGTACGGTCAAAATTTGAGATATTTTGGAATTTTTTCTAAAAAAGTATGTTTTATATAAAAAAACCTCCAACCAAAGTTGTAGATCTTAAAATTCTCTACAAAAATAGTCTTCATAATTTTTTTTCCTAAGAGTTACCATTCCTGAGATATCGCGATTCTAAGAGTCACACTATATATGATATGCACATTCATATATAGGCCACATATATACATATGTTTATGTGACATGAGAGGGAGTAGGAGTTTTGCTTTCTTTTGCTGACAAGGGGGATGGAAGAGTCCAAAATTGTAATAAATCTGCTTACGTAATACTTAAACGGTCCCTTAGACGGTTTATTTAACAAATCTATTTCTTTAAATAATCTATATTCGTAATGTACTCAAAGTACGTACGTAAGTACGTACAAATTAAAAAAGAAACGTCGAAATCCATCAACAAGAAAGAACCACAGATACAGTTACCAGCTCCTTCCCTCTCCAACGCTCCAGCTAGTTTGAAAGTCCGATTTAGAGGACCACATTGTGAAGCTTTGTGGACAATTCCGTTGAAAAGCAATTTTTTCGAATTTGGCACATGTAAACTTTAAAGTATGTTCTTTCAAATGACGCTATGTAGATATTTTAATTTCTGTAAACAAAGCTGCCGTGAATTAAAAAAAAAGAACTAACATCGTCACAGATCATCCTAGGATAACATTTTCTTTTTTGAAATTTGTGAAACAATGCAAGCCTGCCAAATATAAAAAAATGATTTTCCTGCAGGTAATGGATAAAAAGTTATTCTAATTGTTTATGAGCAAAAAATCGACATGTTTTTGCAAAATAATTTTACAATATTTAAAATTATTTTTCCCCATTTTTCTTTTAATAATATTGGTAGAATAAATCGTCTACTTTCATAAGTTACTCGTCAAATTACTGTAACTGTATTATTTTCTGACTTTTATTGTAGCAAAAAAGATTATTTCGGCATAAACAAATAAAACACCGTTCGAACTATTTGTGACCGATCGCTTTGAAATTTTGACCATATTTTAGGCACCACAAGACTCAACATTCCATGCATTATGAAGATTCTAAGTTCATTTTTAAAAAAGTTATTAACATTTATAAAACTCCGAAATTTCTGACTTTTTTAAAATTTTCTAAGCAATAAATAAGGATATAAACATTTAAAAGACGCCATTTTGAACGCCTTTTATATGACATAAGTTTCTTACTCTCATTGTTTTAAATGCTTCACTTTTTGGTGATATACAAAAAAGCAAAAATTTACGGTGTTTTTGACTGTAAGTCCAGGAAATCGACTGGAGAAAACATGATCCTGTTATAGAGGTCAATACTGCTCAAAATAACGTTTGCTTGAGGAGTCTGTGTCACAAACAGGGTACTTATTTTTGCTTATTTTCCTGAACTAATAAGATTTTCGTTATCTCCTCCATTGGTATCTATTCACAGTTGCTGTCATCCGCATTGTTTCAGTATAACTTAATACCAGTCAGCAAATAACGTAGATTGTTAAGTTCCCTACTTCTTCAATATTTATTTCCTCGTTAAAACATCTCTTAGGCATACACTGAAAGGCACAAGTAAGAATTGACCATACTTCTCTTCAAATCCACTTTATATAATATTCATTAATATAATATTTTCAATGAATCACTGTGGCTAAGCTTATTGATGTTATTCAGTGTGTTGGTGTGTGTTGATGTTCAATTTTAGTTTCCATATGGACTTATTTTTATATAAGTTCGAACTTAAGCCCTGACACTTCAGGTGTTGTCCTTAACACATCTTCTTATTTATAACCTTCACTTATAACATTCTTTACAGCGTTTCATTATTTGAGCTCATAGACATATAATACAAATAGACTGATAGCTGCATTACATATCCCCCCCGTGCGACAGAGAAAACTGACGGCAAGCATCCCTGCATCTCTTTCTAATTTGACAGGTTCATCGACCAAGTGACCTAAATAACCAATGAGAAGGTCGCGTGGTCAATAAACCCGGCCAGTTTTGTCTGTCTCACTGGAGGAACGCGACTGTATGTCAGCAGTCAGTCTATTTGTACTATATGTCTATGTTTGAGCCTTATTTTGTGTAATTTACACTCATTTGACAAATTAGTCTAAGCTAAAAGTGAAATTAAATCGTAGAATACCAATTTTTTATCAAAAAACTCATTAAAAATATTCTCGAATTATTTTTGTTGATTTCAATCAACAAAATGAACTACTACTTCGCAAAACATGCAAATATGTATAACTATTGTCAATAATTCTTTTGTTAGGAAGTCATAAATCATATAGCTTAAACTCAGGTTCAATCTGAGTGTGTCTATATCGAAAAATCGTTAACAAAGTATCTACCAAACGCCATTTTGTTAGTGCTGGACAAATGGTATTATAGTTAGTATAGCAAGCTGATTTATTAATATCACACATAAAAATGTAAACAAAACACTCGTAACAAAGTTATGATAGATTTTAATATTTTCAATTCAGAATCATATTTCATTTACTCTAAAAAATTTTTTTAACTAATAAAACAGTTTACTAAAGCATAATAATAAAACTGTTTTATATGTTTACGTAATCAATCCATTAATTTGGTGTATTGTCTGCAATGACATCGTCCTTATAAGCAAAAAGAGTAAAATGGAAGAAC